CCCAACTTGCCATTATTCGAAAAATCGTGCCCGCCATCTTGGATTTAGAAATGAGTACCATATTCGTAATGAGCATCCCCAAATACCTCGAAAAGGATACCCATATAGCATTTTTTGAAAAATCGTGTCCGCCATCTTGGATTTACAAATAAGTGTAATTAAGTAAGTGTAATTCGTTTTTCATCGACAAAACCGAGCATATCTGTAGGCACCTGATCGATATTGTCGATCGACAGTAACGATCGACATTGTCGATCGTCAAAATCGAGCACATCTGTAAGCACCTGATCGACAATGTCGGGCAAATCTGTAGGCACCTATAACTTAATGATGAGTTAAGCAAGATACAATTTCCCCACTTTTGAGGGAAATGTTATTCCATGGCATCATTATTTGTATATTTATGTGCGTGCCGACGAGCGTAGTTACAAGTTGCTAACGCCTACATGAATTTGGTTTTTGCCTCACTTATGACAGTTCGTTTGATATGAAACTATCATTCTATGCGTTATTATTCTAAGCGTCACCATGACAACCAGAAAAGAACGTATAAAATGTACAAAGGAGTTTGTAACACAGTCCTATTGTCAAGAAGTCAGAATCTGCAGGGCAGTTGGTAGATCGCGTAAATTCCTATTCTAAAATATCTCAGAAGAAACCACTCGTAGGTACATCATTGATAGTTGCAAAGATTCAGAAAAGTCAATTTTGAATGGCGGTCATCTTGATTTCGTCATATCAGAACACTGTTCTGGCACAACCTGGCCAAGATCCTTGACAATTTGCTTTTGAGAGCCATGTACGCTACCTCTGACGCTTTGGCCGAGCAGCCTCTGTCCTACTTGTTGCGGAGCGCTATTCCAAGATATCCGATTTTTGTCGTACTCAATGAATCCTTCCGACCACTATTCCCGCAAATCATTAAGCGATATCTATTCTTTCTTTGTAAACAATTGCCTAAATGTTTACATCAGTGAGTGGTAATAAATCGAGCTAATCTAAGCTCAGGTAATCGGCCCGCGAAGGCTCTGATGTAACTTTATATACACATATAATGTTGTGCGTTGCGCTGGGAACCTATCCGCGTAGAACAATATAAATATCTTTTTTCCAGCATATCGTGAAGTATGCGTTCTATATATATCAGTGAGAGTAAACTTGTAGCTTTATGTATTATAATGTTGTGCGCTAAAGCGGCCCGCGAAGGCTATATACACGTTTGTAACTGTTTGCTAGTTGTAGTTTCTATGTCGGAATTGTTTTTTTAATTACGTTTCATTAGGTGGGAGAGAGCAGGATAATTGATATGATCGTGTCAATTCATTCTTAAATATCACAGAAGACCCCAGGTGTAATAGTTGCAGAGATTCGGCAAACTTAGGTTTTGTATAGAGGCCACCTTAGATTTGCCATATTGAAAAATTTTCATTCTTCCATTTCGGGTGTAGAACCAAACAAAGAAGGAGTAACTGTTCAAGAAACTTCTCGAGAAGAAAGTATTTCAGCTGTCGTCCTAGCACTTGTTGTTTCCCTTATTCTATAATTTGTACTCTTGTCAACAATTTTTACTTCACACTGTTTTGCAGCGTGTATCTAAAAAGTAGATTGGATACTACTTAATGCAACCTACAAGATATTTGTTATAAGAATGCTTCATAGCACAAGAAAATGATATAACTAAATAAACTTTACAAGTAATCTGCAAGTCGGAGACGTATTGGGGACTACACAAACTCTCCATGTTTTCTTTTTTGCTGTTATGCTGATACTAGGTTAGAATAGCAGTTTTTCTAATTCACTGTCTTTTGATTCACTTGGATGCTGAAAACATATTATTATTAGCTTTATATGCAATAGGTAAATTTACAATCATACAAATCAAACAGTTGAATTCATACCTCATTTAATATAGGTACTAATATTGCGCAGCTTGACTGTGCGTTTGAGTTTTTGCTCATATTTCATAATTTTCACTTTGAAACAGTTCACCAAATCTCCGGTTGGCTACAAAACTAATAGAACATTATTACCTCGGAAATTCCACAGTAGTACTAAAAGTGAAAAGAAAGACAAATTATTATATAACTGATCTTCATAACAATAAATAGCGTAAACTTTGAAGTAGGTATCTCACGTTTACTTCACGACACCACTTAATATGAACAAAGATCTTGTTTGGGTTATTTATTGAACCATTCTCGTAGGTATGAACAAAGCACTTTCTGTATTCCATAGCTGTGTTATATTTGATATTTTGTCTCCCGGCAGCTAAATTAAAAGTTGCAAAGATAGTAAAGTCATGTTTACAAATGTGAAGTGATATTTAATTCTTTTTTGTGTTTTTGCTTTGCATTACGCACGGACAAAACATTATAGAGCCACTGATATAGAGTCATTGAATGTCAAATAAAGGTCAATATTATTCTTTGAAAAATATCAACGTAACATTGACAAATATATAGAAAATATTAATGAGCAAACTTATTCCTCGAAATGGATTTTGAAATAGAGAATTTGATAAAAAAATTAACAATGCCCATTGAAAGGGTATTCGGGTAGCTATATCAACGTTCTTGGCATGTGTCTTTTGAAAGTGGAGTGTAAACGAAATTTTTGTATAATAGAATTTATAATAGCAGATGGATCTTCGCCAACGGTTTTAAGCCGCGATTCGTGTAGTGAGCTTAATGTAATTAATCTATTACTTAGAATTATCGGTACTCAAAACTACGATTACATCTCTAATGAATACCACGACATATTTGAATGGTTAGGATATATGCACGGCGAATATCAAATAGAAATTAATACTAGCATTAATTAATTATTTTATCTAGTAAATCTTCAGGATGCTACTGGGACTTCCGCGGTATTGGAGTACGTCATGTTTGCCGAGACTTTTATGCCATTTGAGCGAAAAAAGGTGTTGCCTCTGCTAAAGCGAGTGCGTGATAATGGCAATGGTATCCTGAAGAGTTTGCTCATCATTTTGACTGCACAATTTTAAAGTTTTTGGTAAAGACTGATCAAACTAAATAATGATTTGTGCATTATCATAATTTTCTTGTTTTAATTTTTGTAATTTTAATTATAAGTATTAATCAATATTTCGAAAGTAATTGCAATTGTACTAACAAAGTTTTGAGGTTTTCTCTTGTCACTAACATCATTATCTTATGGGCAATGGCCTGAAATCAATGATTTTATTACATGAAGAAAGATGTCGTTTAAGCTGAAAGTATTATATCAATATGTTAAGGTAAATGACGTTATTTTTATTCATTCATTTTATTAACCCAAAAAAATCGCAATGGGGAAGTTTAATGGGAAAAAGTAAGTTTTACATGAATTGATATTTATTACAATTCAGCTTCAATAACACTGGTCTACGGACGCATTTCTTCTTGAGACTATGAGTTATTTGATGAGGACTGGATTTTTATCTGTAAATACAAACATATTCTTTATTTCAGGGTAGCGAAATTGCGAATCAAGCAAAGACTATGAAAAATAGAGAAACGTATTTTATGGAAGACTTTCGCAAACCACACTTTGATAACTAAGTGCAAACGTCTTGTATTGGCTCGTCCTTAGTCGTAATGATCGTCTGAAATAAACAAAGGTCATCAATTATTACATAGGCATAAATAGATAATAAACTTCTTCAAAGAAGACCTAGCGAGTCACAGTAGCGAGTCAGAGACTAGTAGCACATGATAATATCTCATTGATGGCTGAACTTACACATTCGTACGTTCCTTTATATTTTTTGAATTCACAGTTTTTATCTGTTGGGAAGGATCACATTGTACAATAAATTATAAATTTTTATTCATTACTGGTATATTATTAAATTAGAAGTTCTATTTATGTCCATTTTTGCTAAAAAGTCCCACTCACTCCACTCAATTTGTTTCAAAATTTAAAATAACCTCTTTTGAAAAACAACTACACGAAAAAAGGTAATACTTTTAACATTACCGAAAATAATTTCCGAACATATTCTCTATTTTGTGATCCCAAGTCCCTTTTTGGAACTCCTTGTGACTTGGAAAATTGAACTTTGCTTTTAATTTGATATTAAATCTGTTTGAATCCAATTTTTCGTGAATCCTTATGAAAATTTGTTTTACTATCTCATTTTCTCAGTAAACTAATTTGTACTTAGCAGTTTCAGATCACTGAGATCAAAAAGAAATCTCTTTTGACACCAAAAGTAACAAAAATAAAAACATATATTCCACAAATTTCTGAACCAGTTTCACATTTTAGTGGTACCATTAATAATCATGAATACCTTCTTAATTTACCACGCAGAGGTCCCAGGTTCGATTCCCGGGCCGGGAGAAATATTTGTATGGCCTACATTTATTTCTCTCGTGAGTTTGGGTGTAATTTGTGGTTGTCTATGTGTGTGTCCATGGCACCCGCGACACAGGGTTATTATTATTATAAAAAAACCTTCTTAATTAAAATTCATGTATTTTAAACATAGTATGTCCATTCAATTTCACTTTGAATACGGTAGTTTTAAAATTTAGGGAATTTTAAGATTATGATTATAAGAATGGATTAATAAATTAATCTGAACGAATGATTAACTTTTAGATAAATTATGAATGATGTAAATAACAAGATTTCGTTGCTCTAGATCGAGTTCTAGTAACAATGCCGTTAGAATTGTTTCAGAACATTTGGATTAGTAAATCTTACTCGGATGTGGTACCCAACAGGCACGTATATTTTAATAAATCATCACAGCAGTTAATTTATTGAACGTTGGCCTTGTACGAGGTTATAGATTTTGACGATTCTCTCCTTTTGTCGGAAAGGGGATACCTTAGTATTGGTCCCATTTAAATTTGAATAAAATATTCCACCTCTAAGGGTGGCAAATTCGTGGAATTACAACAATTTACCAAGTGTTATTGAAATCGGTTACCGGAAAGTGCTCGAAACCGGATTCATACCCTAGTTTGCCAACCTTAGAGATAGAATATTTTCTACACATTTAAATGGGACAAGTACTGAAGTACCTTCTTTCCAACAAAAAAAGAATCATCAAAATCTGTTCCCAATGCCCACAGACCAAATAAATACTAATAATTTTTTTAGTTTTGCGGAAAAAAAAGTACCGTCGAATTGAGAAACTCCTTTTTTTAAATCGTTTAATAACAAATATTATATCGCACATGACAACTAACATAGTATTATCTTAAAATGGCTTTAATTTATATTAATATTACCTATTTAGTTTCAAAGCGACAGTATTGTCCTGTCACTTTGAAATTAAATCGTATATGAATGACACATCAATATAGCGAAATTTTGGCGGAAAATTATTAATATAACGCAATTTTGAGATAAAATATAACATGACGCCATTTTTGAGATAATACTGTGTTAGTTGTCACGTGCGATATATTTCCAACACAGCATCTGTGTACACCAGGTCTATCACAGCAGCACTGTTATCAATATAACCCGGTCAGTAGAATGTAGAAATGAATTAATTCGGTAACTGATTTCAATAATTAATGAGTATCATCAAAAACAGTTCTCAATTTTTTTTTAAATAGTTCACAAAGTTATCGCGTAACTTTTATTAGGAAGTGTACCTGTCTACAATTGCGATCGTATTTAGAAATTCGTACTGCCGGCATCAATTACGAACGTTAAACATTTACAATAATCTTAAAAGAGAACTAACTCTCTTTTCCCTACACGTAGAAATAGTCAAACCCTTAAATGAGTTAGTTTACAACTCCATTTTCCACAAAATCCCCAATAAAATTTGTAATTCCCTAGATATTTTATTAAGTAGCCTAAAATCGCGTTTTCCTATTTCAAACATAGCCTAAATATCGCCGAGTCGCCGATCACTTTTTTAGTCGCCGCCCCGCATGTCAACGTCAAAAGTAAGTGTTTTCCACCAGTAGTCAAAACAATAAGGTTTTAGAAAATATTTATTGACAAATGACATACCATACAAAACGCAATTGCGATAATACTAAAACAACTCGAATTTTGCTTTGAAGAATTGCAGTCATCGGAGAAGCACTGGCACACGGTCTCGAGGTGGTCTTCGTTGTCGGCTTTATAGCAATCGCGGTAGAAACGCTTCCAGCCACAGCCGCGTGTCACGCGAACTTCAGGCTCATAGTTCTTGTGGAATACTGTTTACAAAAAGCATAATTAACGTTATTTATGTACATAGACACAGGCACAGACAAAGACACAGACACAGAC